GAACAGCTCAATTTCCAAGCTCAATCGGTTCGACTTCGATGACAGCGAACAGCAGTCTCTGCTCCGAAAAATCAAAGACGAATTGAAGGATTACGCTCGTCGGATGATATACATGACCTTGAGTCCCGCTTACGATGTTGAAAGCGTCAAGGGCATCGGTCCCTTCAAAGGGTTTGGAGAATTTGGCATCTATACCGACATCCCGCAACCACTGAGATTGCTCACACAGCATTTTTGGAACATTTTGCGGCTGGAGCAGTTTACCAGAGACTACACTGACACTCCCGAGAACCGCAGGATATGGGAACGAACTCAACACGAGCTCAAACAGCAGGGCATTATCACAGGCGCTGAAGTTCCCTACGTATCAAGGAACGTGCTGTTCGGAAGCTTGGACGAGTTGAACCAGTTTCTAGTCTCCCCAGCTGGCAAGTCGAAGCTTCAGCCGATGATCCATGTTCGACCAACCACACCTGAGGCATCTAATCCTACCAAGAAGTTGAAGATGTCCCAAGAAGCAACGATGCATGGCAGGAGTCCTTCTGGAGACATGACGACATTGGTGCACAAGATGAATGGCAGCTCCATCGAGTCTGAAGCCATTGCGCAAGAGTCCGACAGCGAATTTTCAGGTTCGTGGGAGAAGGCAGCTGAGAGTGTTGACGAAGACGAGGAATGGCAAGATGCTATGGAGGCTATACACGTATTTCCAGTGAAGTCTCTATCGATTCGTCAGAAGTCTATGGCTGCTGCACCTCAGCTAACCACCGACACCTCTGAACCAACCCCATTTGGCACAGACGAAAAGATTCACTATGCACGAACGGTTCAGACGATCGCGCCAGCCAGCACGGCGAGACCGGAGCTCAGTGACACGATGGCTAGCGGGGATCTTGTATCGCAACGTAACCTTTCGACGCTGTACTATGGTGACTCGGCCGAGGCCTCTGACGAAGCAGTGTCGCCTACTACGGTGCCCAAGCGTGAGCGTACACTCCAACCAAACGAATCTCCTTTCCTCAACGGTTTCAGCGACAAGTCTCTCCCCGACCGTGAAGCCGCTTCATTGAGGTTCTCCCAGAAGAGAATGAGCAAGTTGCACCCTGCAGATGACAATGCTAGGAGCATGGAGATTCAATCATCGATGCAACAGACAGGCCTTGTCGATCCCTTCACCTCAGCTGGACCACCACCCCCACCACCACGATCTTCTCCTCGACTTCAGCCTGAGCAGACGCGACCAGAGAACCGAACACCCGCACCGATCGACCCAAACCCAAGACCTATAACTCCGGCTGCCCTGCTCGACGATATCAGCAAAAATATCTACAATCGCCTTGCAACTCTCGTGACACCAGGTTATGTGCTCGATGAAACATGCAACCTGGACATCCCAAATGGCGAGATCAACACGCTCTTGTGTCTGAACGATAACGAGTGGAAATACCTCCCCTTGTGGGCTGGCGGTCTCGATGATGGCACTGGCGGTGTGTTCAACGATGGTGTCGAAGTTCCTGACGCGCCTGATGTTGAGGACGGCGGCTTCAGAGGTGGTGCTATGGGCATCATTCCAGGTGTCGGCAGTTCAATCGGCGGGAGCATGGATGGTGATGGGAGCGATTTTGAAGAAATTATGACCGAGGTTGGTGTGAGCACTGTTGGGAAGGCTAGTCGGATTGCCACGGATGGTACGGCGACCGAGACCGTGATCAGTATGGATGAGTAATGACTTCACACGGCGTTCACGGGATCAAGGTGTGGTATCTGGGTTGATGCGACCATGAGAGGAATGAATGAATGGTGATGTTGATGATGGATACAAGGCGTTGCGACTGCGGATGGATGGCGTGAACACTCAGAAAATGTACCGGCACAATAATGTGTACTGTTATGATGATTCTTCGAAAGATCTTCACATCACTGGTATCGAATGTGATACATCTACATGTGCACCTTTCTTCCAATCAATTATCTCGTGTAGACTGCTTTGCGCCTCCAGCATCTTCTACATCTTCGAAAGACCTTGAGAGTGGCTACTGATCTCGTCTGACCGAATCTGGCTAGCTTGTAATGTTCGCTTCCACCTGTCCAGGAGGATGGTGAACTGTACAGCTCCTGCCACCTGGTTTGCAAGGTCAAGCCTTAAGCTTCCTATCATACTCCCTGTCCCATTCCGCCTTAGCAGTGTTGCCAATACGTCGAAGCCATGGCGATGGTGGTCCGCAGGCCACAACACGCCTCGAATCAGCCGATTGATCTCATCGGCTATCCTAGACACTGCACAGCAAGATTGGGACAACACCAGGGATAGACCACCTACAAACCATATCTCGTCCTGTAACCTTTGTGGCAGGCATCATCCTCTCTGGCTTACTGATTATTGTTTCTATCGATCTGCAAAAGCAATACTGCCTGCCGTGTGTCTTCTCCGTGTCCGACTCCTGCCATCGGTCCTGCCATCGAGAAGTGACTGGTTCATGGGAGGCTAGACTCTGCAGGAGGTAGCTGCACCGTGAAGCTTATCCTTCTTCGATAGTCTCTGCGAGTATATGGCTAATAAGGTCTAGTAGAGGAGAGAGCTTATAGAAACATGAATCGTTCCGATGACACCTCAATTTTATTCTGTCAAATTGACGACCATAAGCTGTCAGTAGCTTGCTAGCTCCTTCCCCGACAACCTTTCCCTCCTATCGCTCATTGTCGCGATTATCGAAGCAACTTCGTAGCTGTCGTTGACTCAATGACGGTTCTTCTCGATTACTAACATCACGATTTCGATGGGGCTCGTACCCACGCTGAGTCGTTGACATACAGCCATCCCCAATCCTTCGTCTCCACAGCTATGACAAGAACAATCTACACCGCTCAACTGAGCTTGTCGAGCCCAAAAACGATAGCAACAGGGGACGTGACAATGGAATAGGCAAAGAACAAGGGCAACCATGAAAGAGGAAGATAAGAGATTGCAAAAAGGGTGACATATTAATTCATCGTCATCCCGTCATCGCTCGTCAAATTCTCAATGTCGGTAACGACTAACCCGAGCTTCACTAGCTGTTCATAATCTCATAAACTCTCCATCATATATGTCTCAACCATATAATATATCCATAATCCATTCCATATCCCGAGGCCAATCAAACCAACCCGCTCGCTAAACCTTAAATCAAAAGTCCACATCACTAACACCAACATCATCCTCATACCCAACTTCACTCCCCTCCACACTCCCCCCCGAATCCTCACTCAAAAATCCTCTCATATCCTCCATCTCCTGCGCACTCAGGAAATCTTCTTCTTCTTCCTCGCTCTCCTCCACCCTCGAGTTCGAAAGCGGCATCGCCGCAGCCGCACGCAACAAGTCGTCCATATCTCCGGATTCTGGTTCCGGCTCAGAGATCACACCCCGACACATCGGACACGTCGCTGGTGAGCGCGACTCCCGGCAGAACTGGATCCACTTGGCCATGCAGGCCTCGTGGAAGAGGCGGCGGCAGATGTCGCGGGTTAGACGCCAGTTGTCCTCGTCGGACTCGAGCGGAGACGAAAGGACGGTCTCGTAACAGATTGGACACGGGGCTTCCGTGTCTGCGTCTGTGTCTTGCTGAGTCTCACTCGGTGTTGACATATATGTCACTTCGAGGGAAGTGAAGGCTGTGTGAGGCTCCCATGTGAGCTGATTGAGCTGGGAGTGAAGCTGATTTGAGGTTCCTACAGCCTCAGCCCTGGACTTCTTGTTCGGCTGTTGTTCGTCCGAGTCATCGTTATCCTCACGCTGCCGCTTACGTGAAGCACTGGTTGGTGGTTGTGCTGTTATTGTTGTTCTTGTGGCGGCGAGGTGCTGCCACTGTGCTGTTGCGGTGGGTGAGGAGGGGAAGTATGCTGGTGAGGCGTCAGTGATTGTCTCGAGAGGTGAATCAGGCGGGGTGGGACCTACGGGTGGAGAGCTCTAGATGCTCGGAAGGCTTGTCTACGTCCATGATTGAGCAGCAGGTGCTTGTCGTAGATGTCTGAGGTTGAGATGAGGTGGAAGACATCTTGTTGTTAGGTGAGTTTGAGCCTAAACTGAGACAGATCTCTTCGAAAAGTTGCTCCTGAAGCCGCTGGGAAGTTGTTGTCGTAGCGTGGAGGTTGCTATTCTGCTAAGGAGCTTGGAGAAGTAACAAGCCTAGCCTTCGCCCAGGCGGATACTATAGCTATATTGCACTCGGCACGAGGCTATAATGTAACGTTATGAGCTGAAGCTGAGGGTGTAAATTTAGGATTGAGAGATGCAAAGGAACAGCAGCGAGCGCAGGAAGAGAATAAGAGGAGAATTTTCCATCGTGGGCGATGCGCGATTTCAGATGTTGCAGGCAGCAGCATCATCTTTTGGGACAGTGTGAGACCTGTGAGGACCTGCACGGAGGATGATGTATGTATAGGAGGACGATAGGCTCTGACTTTGGTACGGCGCGAGGCATGGACCATGGTATGGTGCTGAGCAGGTTTTCGTCGGCCAATGGGAAAATAGGAAAGGAGTGATGCACGTGACCAAGAACCAAAAGGTACATGCCGATAGCGATGCAAAGATCGTGACTGTGAACGGAAGCTGATTGGGAGGCAGAGCTTTGTATGCTGCTGTCCGGTCGTTGAGAGGCGTCCGACTCGTATCCAGGCCATAAATCGAACCATTGCTGTTGCATACGGCAAGGCACGTAATGCTGAGTTGCAAAACGCAGGCAAATACATCGTCGTTGTTAGCGCTCGCCGTACTAAATTAAGCCCTCGTGATCGTCTCTGTCAAAGAAGTCGCCGTGGTAGTCGCGAGTAAAGTACCGGGTGCACCTCCCTCAACCTAGAACGCAGACGAGCAGAGAAGCTGGAAAAAGCCAAGACCTACAATTCTTTGAGGCCAACAACTTGACAGTGTTAACGCTCTGCCTTCCAGCTACTTTGTCCTTGGGTTACCACAGCAGCTGGTAAACAGTGGTAATTTTTGATCATCGGGAAAAAAAGCTGGACAGCGGCAGGGGTTGAACCTACGACCGTCAGGGGCCCGCAAGTTGCACCTCTTAGGTCTGATGCTCTGCCCTTGAGCTACACTGTCTAATTGTGGCACATCATTTTGTGTTTGGCAATATGTTGTCGAGGCTTGACAGGTCGGGTAAGGAGCATTGTGAGTCATGCCTGTGTTGGTGAGCTGCGGTTCTAGGCAGTCTGGTACTAATAGCGTACCTTGCAATGCTCAAGCCCGGAGGGTGACGTTTTCAAAGCCGTGCGATTGGCGATGTTGTCATGTATGCAAGGCCAAACAGCCTTGGAAGCGTAGATTATCCGGAAAGCGGGTGACAATATTGTCCACCCGGTGGTGACCACTTTTATCATCTGGATTGCCAAATTCTGTTGATTGTATCAATCTGGTGCCGTATATCGACATGGCCAATGTATCACAACTCTCATCGAGGGTACTGGAGGGGAGATATGGGGTATCTCCTTGTTTCCTGCAACTCGAGATGGCGTCTGTCGTCGGTGGCGAGCATAAGTTGGTGTTGAAAGTCGAGGTATCGAGCCTAATCTGGCAAAAGGTCGAGAGCATCTAAGACGTCAAGTTCGACCATAAAGGGCGTCAACAGCATAAAAGAATCAGCAGCATGTACTTGCATGCGCTCTGCTCATTCTTAGTCTCGATTTTCATGCTAGCCAAGTCACCACAGACGCTGGATCGACTGATGGAGACACGTCGAGGGGGATGTTGCAAATGATATTGCGTGTCAACGCTGTAGATATTGAACAGGATTGCACAAGGTGACTGGCCGCAAAACGCATCGCACTCCGCATCGCACTCCGCACCTGAAGACGTCGTCGTGCCAGAGATTGGTGTTGTCGTGGGTATTTCAGCCAGAAAAGTCGGCGTATCGAAACGCAGTCGACAAATAGGTTTATGAGGGCGTCGCGCTTTTCATGAACAGCAAGTTTCGTAACCAGTCAGTGCCACTGCATTCTCCTTCTCGAGCTCAAACTCATTATCAAACGTGGCCATTGTCGTACTGTCAATTTGTTCATACGCCCTGCCCATCATCTCGTCCCCACAACTTCACAGTTCTGTCGTGCCCACTGCTGGCTATCCACTTCGAGTCCTGACTGACATCAACACTCAACACGTTACCTGAATGGCCACTTAGCTGCTTCGCTAAAGACCAATCATCCGCCGAAAAGATGTTCACATTCTTGTCAAAACCGCTGGAAACGAAAAACGTTCCTGCTTTCCGTGGTTGAACGTCGTTCTTAACCCCATTCTCCATGCTCACGTCCAGGCTGGTAGTCGTATCACCGTCCATGCCTTTAAACCATCTGAGGTCTGAGACATTGCCATTGTGCGCTCCAATACCCCCAAGATTTCGCACTGCTCGAAGGTCCCAGCACTTCACCCAGCCATCACCTGAACCCGATAACACTCGATAGCCATCAATACCCCAATCAAGGCTGTAGATTTCTCTGATGTGACCTTCAAGGATCATGACTGTTCTGCCTGATCGAAGATCCCAGATTCGACCTATGCTGTCGAATCCACCACTAGCAAGTAACGAGCCGTCGGTGTTAAAGCTGACAGTATACACCTGCCGCGAATGACCTTCTTGGAGCACCAGTTCTGTTGTAGTCTCAACATCCCATAACCGCCATGTAGTGTCGAAGGACGCTGATGCTAGGTACTTACCTGATGGGTGGAATTCAACTCGACACACCCGGTCGCTGTGGCCTTGTAGTGTTGATATGGGCGTGTCTTGAGTAAGCGACCACAGATGAATATCGCTTGCACCGCCTTGTCCTCCGCCACCTGATACTAGGTTGAGAGTACTGTCGGAGACTCCGGACTCAGGTAATGTTGCTCCTGGGAACCATGATATACCACCTACTATGCCAGTATGACCCCGAAGTGTTGCTTTCTCCTCTAGGTTTGGTACTGAGAGCAGTTTTATACCTCCGCTCCAGTTACCTGCCGCTATGGTTTCTCCATCAGGCGCGAACCGGGTTATGCTGACCGGTCTGTCGCCAGCAATTTGTGTTCCAAAGAGCTCGAATCCTGCTAATTTCTCCTTGATTTCTTTTCTGTGCTTGATATGCGTGCGGAGGGGTATCGAAGACTCTTCTTTCTGCCTTGCGACCCTGGCCTTTGCTCTGGGCAGAGAGTATCTTGCGATGTCTTGTCGAGCTTTGAGCAGTTCTTGGAGGCCTTCGGTGTAAAACTCTTCTTCTTGGTCCTGTGGCTCATCTGCTTCACCCATCTGGATATCCTGTGACATACCATCTTCTCCTTCTGCCTCTGCTAACATGAGCTCTCGCGACCGGTCTCTCCGATCTGCGGGGCCTTCACCAAAGAGTGTGATGGGCTCACCCATCTCCCGGAGCCTGGCTCGTACCTTGCCATCGTCGGTGGGTACTGCTATTTGGACAGCTCTTCGTTTGCGGTCGAACTGCGACAAGAGCGCGGAAGCTCTTTCAGGTGCTGCACCTCCAGCCCCGGTGGGTAGGTCATAGTTGCGATCGATTGCTGCCGTCGAATTAGTGGTGTATGCCTGCCGTCTTCTAGAGACACTCACGCAAGTCGGCCAAGCTGATACCTTGTTCCGAATCCTATACTCATCCATACCCGTCAGCGACGTGTCTTCGAGAGCAGGATGCCTTGATCTTGATTCAGCGCGTGAATAAGCGTTCGCAAGGTATAGTTGGAGGCGGTTGCTTACCTCGTTGGCTTCCTCCACAAAGGCTTGTCTCGCTGGATGTCGTTGCATATCGATACCTCAAGCCACTCCTGGCTGGGTCTCGGCAGTGGGCTATCGCGGGTGTTAGTGGTGCTGTACTGTTTAGATTCGCGCAGCATCAATATCGAGCGGAGCGGAAAACATTCAGGCTGCAAGGCCCAAACAGACGCTCCGCTGCTCACGTGACTGCGGATCAAACTGCGCCCTTCGAAGGAAGTCGCGTCACGTTTCCTTCACTTCGCTGCTTCCACTGTTGTATGCCCGAATCTCTTGACGCCTTCTTCCTGCACGAACCCGCATCTCGCGCCTCATTCCTTCGGCCCATCAGCAAGCATTCTTTTCGACATATTGGCGAGTACCCAGTACCCAGCATTGCAGTGGCCAGCGACTTCCATGTGCGCTGTCGACCAGGATATCTCAACCTTACCTCTCAACTGCTTTGCCCCATCTTCGTAGAAGTGCAACGTATTGTATCCGTCTTGCTGTCCACCTAGCCTTCTGAGGGATGGCCACCCCTGCGCAGCCAGTCAGTGACATGCTTCCTAAGCTTGAGCAAGTCCGGCAAGCATGTCTCGCAGATTCAAGCCAGTACGTTCAGGTTGTGCCTGGTATTGTGCCGATTCTGCAGGGTGCACAGGCTGTCGACGTGCGAAGATGGGGAGCAGACTTTATTGCAGAGGCATTTGCGACACCAGCGTTGCAAGGCCACCAAAAGGAACAATTGATCTCCGACACGGTAATGTCACTGCTCAGAGGCATGCTTGAGAATCCCAACGAGGACACAGCAGTGGTCAAGAGCGCAGTACAAGCCAGCGCAAGCATATATCCATATGTTTTCAGAAGAGTGTATGTAGATTCTATGCATGGAAACACGAGCAATTCTGATATTGTGGTACAGCATCTCGCATCCTGATCTTGCTTTGGTATGGCGTGACATGACTACCATCAAGATCAACATTTTACAGAGGATAGACTCATCCGCTCTTGCAACCCGTGTGTGCTGCATCAAATTCTTGCAGAAAGTTGTTCAGGTCCAAACACCGGGTGTCATATCGGATCCAAGGGTGAGTCCTTGTTCAGTGCCAAAGCATGATAAAGAGCTAACACGGCTCACAGAGACCTGAGCACAACGAGACGTCCATCGCCTTGGTTCCACGCAATCATCCCCTGCTTCCTCTGGCCAACTTGGAGGCTGAAACATCCGGTATCCTCGATCGACTGCTCAGCGTGATTCAAGAGAACTCGACCGATCCGCTACTTGTCGACCCTACCATGAATTGTCTGGCAGTGCTGATCAAGATGCGCCCTCCTATCCAGGCTAAGATTCTGCAAACTATCCTCAACTACAACCCTCTCCGAGCAGCCAGCGGACCAATGACAACCCGGTTGATTGTTGTCATCAAGTCATTGCAACGGACGACCAGAGCTCTTCTACGATATGTGCTCCGCATCTTCCCCCAGCATCCTCTGGCGGAGAAAATAGATACCTACCTTCGACGGCTGCAAAGCTCGACCACAACTGTCTTCACCCAAGCACAATCACTCAAGCGACCAGCCGAATCTGCAGACGGCTTCGATGACGCAAAAAGACAGAAGCTTGAACCTGTCAGGAAGTTTGCACCTATGCCACCCCCACCAAACACATACGCTCAGCTATTTACTCTGATAGACAACCAGGAATTTCAACAATTTGATGTCAAAATTCTACCCGAGGAAGTTGTATGTCTGATATCCAGCGCCTTAATGCAACATATCGACTCCAAATCCTTGGATGAAGCTATAGAAGAGGTACAACAGAGATTTCAGAGGATACAGGATGCCGCCAAGCCCGTGAATGCAGGGGAAGAAGACGACGATTACGATCCCGAAGCTTTATCCGGTGCTGAGGCTGCTGCACAATCAGCGCAAACAGGAGAACTGCTACCACAGCCAGCATTAGACCTTGGCCCATTCGAGTTACCAAAGCCACTACCACTTTCAGAGTCTGAGCTTGCAATGTTGTCTGAGCAGACCATCTCCCATGTTTTCGAGACAGCACTGTCATCAGAGAAGAATCCGAGTCTTTCAAGGCAGAAGCTTGGCATCAATCGGCTAGCGGGTAGCACAAATGACAGGGACTCATGGCTGACTGTCATGATAAGACTGGCTACTCGTGCGCCCGCTGGTCTAGATTCGGTGGTAGATGTGCAGCTCAACGGCGATACCGAATTGATCAAGCCCGAGACAGAACTTTCAACAACAATGCAAGGCGCACACGTCCCGAACCGAATACGCCGACTCCTCTTCGACTATGTTCTCGACGACTGGAAACATCGCCTTTCTCTCGGCATCACGTGGCTTACAGAAG